TATTTAGTATTTTTAATAAGCATCTTCAATACTATTGAGTTGGTTTCTTTGTTCATATCACAAGATTAATTATGCTGTCAAGCACTTTCAAGGCCTGCTTAACAAAGATTCAGTGATATAATGGTTTGCTTCGCATTGCCTTTTTTCTGCATAGCAATCACAATCAGCATTAGACAATTTAAAACCCTTTCACAAGCCGGAAGTTCTGAAGAGCCTTTTAATCAACAAAAGTAATTTTGCAAACAACTAGATACAGCGTTTTTCATATTAACTAACTTGTATTAAACTCTGCTGTATGCTTGAATCTCTGGTTCTGGTAATGGATTATTCAGATTTGCAAGAGACTAAAAGTGGGGAACACAATTAGCACAATATGCAGTTTGTACCCCATGAAAATTGTAATCTCATGCCATTCTCCAGCTTAATATAAGCATTGTATTAGTACTTTACTGCAGTTCCATATATTTTAATTTTCTCTTAATATGTTGTCCTCATATAATTACTTATTTTTTCTAAATGCCTGTGTATGTAATCCTTGTTTTAAGGGAGACCTCTATGTCTGTAGGACAGGTTAGAAATCAAATCCTAACACACTACAAGAGTCTGAAATTCAAGTTACAATAGGAAAATCTGTTAAGAAACACTTGCCTTCTAAAATCATTGAGCTCAAAAATGCTTTATTCAGTAATTTTATTGCCATATAGCATTGAAAGAAATCCCACATGATTTAAAAACACTTATTTGATGGAGAGATTGTAAAAGCAAAAACACACTACGATGACTGGTTTTTTTTGTCAAGCACATATATAAATGAAACTAACCTGTTAATGACACCTTTAAAACATTCTTTTTTTTTTTTTTTTTTTTTTTTTTTTTAACTGCTAGAAGCATTAATTTGTACCGTTGCTGCATGTGGTAATTAGCAACTTCAGCAGTGATTTTCTCTGCCCTAAACCTTTCGTGTTTGACACTATTCCAGCCTGGGAGAGGAGTGACCCTGGGATACAGTGCTACAGGACAAGTGGAGCAAATCCTGTCACAAGAAATAACAGGGTCAGAAGACATTGCTAATGAAGTCATAGCAACTGGTTTAAAGAGCCAATCAGAGAAGGCAACAATCTGTAAATGAGGATATAATTAGCAGAAAAAATAACATGCTTTGGTTGGATTCTAGGGGAGCCAGTAATGAAGGCAATGACTGGATATTGAGAGAGATTCCAAAAGATTAGAGCAAACATTGTGCAACAAAGAATACCTAATTAGCAAAAAAGTGAACATACCTTAATTAGAAGAAAAATGTATGATTGAAAGACATGGAGTAGGATTTTAATATGTATATAATAATGACTATTAGCCCAAATCTCCAGGACAAAAAAAAAGTCCTATCTTCACTTTTTTTGCCTTTACCATTTTGATAAATGGTCGTGAAGAAGATGGACTGTAAATTCATATCATGGCCGGGACATTAATACTATTAAAACAGACAATTTCGAGACAGTAATTTAATGGGTTTCCACCCAATTTACACATTTACTACCCCTAACACAGCACTGCAGACAAAGCAGCGCTGTGTCTTTTGGCTGGCCTTAATGTTCTTCTGGTGTGAGGAAGTAATTAAGGAAAGAATTTCAGGTGGGTGTCCTGTGGCATGTGAGCTAATGCTTGCTCCAAATATCTGCTAATAGGAAGGGACCCTGGGTGGTTCTTCATACAGAAAAAGAATCAGTGGTGATGAGGCCTTGATTGTGTCTGCACTACTACACTGCTGCAACTTGCTTTTATTTGTTGCTGTTTGGTTGATTTTTCTTTGGGGTTTTTTAAATTTTTTTTTTTTTTAAATAGAGTCTGATCCAAAATTCATTAAACGCAAAGAAAAAGCTTCCAATAAGTTCACAGGCTGCTAGATCAGACTCAGAGTGAGCAGAAACCCTGGAAATTTTATTAGTAAAAATTAAACATGTTATTATCCTGAACATAATAGATCCAAATAGAAGAATCCCATAATGGATTGTGCCAGTACAGTATATGCACAGTATTTATGGCTAGCAGTGATGAAAAGTATAATGTTCTACTGCTTATCATTTTATTACAATAGAAAAATCAGGAGTCTAACTTGTTAATAATTTTTCACCTTTATAGACATCTAAATGGTATTATATTTCCTCCCTTTTTTCTTTTTACAAAATGGTTCTAGGATATTGATTGTCATTTATTTTTACTCATGATATTTAATTGTCATAATTAGCAATCCATGTCTCATTCTCTGTCTTAAAAATATCCTGTCAATTTTATAGCATATTTATAGATTAATTTAAATGTATAATTTAATTTATTACTGCATACCTTTGGTTTGTCTGTAACATTAAAATACTTATGGTACAGAATATTTTAATTAAAACTATTCATCAAATGAAGTCCAGGTAGCATCCTTATCCTTGTTTGCAGTAGGGGGTTCTGGCAGTGAAAGCAAGCAAAATAATGGGTCAATTAAAAAAAAAATCTAAATATAGCTTTTTCAGAGATCTGATTGCTTAACTCAAGGTTAAAAAATAAAAAGAAAGAAATAAAGAAAGAAAGAAAAATGTTTTTGTCAGTGGGTTTCACAAATTAAATTATGATTATTTTTGTCCTCTTGCACACATCAAATCTGCTAATGTCATGGCCAAAAGAGAAGTAAAACTATACAAGAAATGGGCTTGAATTTTCATGTGTGACATATCTCAATTTGACAGTGTCTGCAGGAAACTGGGATATTGTTTTCAGAGGGTTCTTCTTATGAAAGGAGCTGTACAATTAATTTTTTTTTAAACACTGAGAAATTCACCCTCTATTTATGAGAATCAAACTATTTACCCTTTTGGGTCAAGTGTTTCTTCATATTTAAAAAAGGAAAACTTTTAATGATATTTCTAATAAACTGAGAGTTATTAGTTTGCTGTGCTAAGGAAAAAATACAGCATAGCACTGATGAAAATCCCACCTCCAGCACAACTGAATCAAGGTTTTCCTGCAGCTCTCAGCTGACAGAAGGTCTACCATTCCTTTGCCATGTATGCTATTAATTCACTTTCCAGAACTGTCAGGTACTCGGAAAGTAAGAGAAATATACTAAAAATATCAATGTATTTCTCTTCTTCCTTTTGCTAATGTATCTCCACCTATGCTATTTTAATTTAAGCAGTGAAGTAGTGTTGAAAGTTCTGACTGGCTCTGATAACAAAATAGATTAAAAAAATTAACCAGTTAAACAAGAAAATTAAGAAGAAATAGAATCAGCTGACAACTTAATTGTTCAGCTTGTATGCAAATATTCTGACAATAATTTGCCAATGCTTTTGAATATAAGTTTAGAAACACATAATTATAACATTAATTGTTTCTTCTGCTTTAATTCTAGGTTTCTGTCACAAAATAGAAGGCTTAACTGTAATTCATGAGGAAATATAAAAGTATATTCATTTTGTATTCAATTAGCTTTAAGCATATTCCAGTGCAGTGCAGTATTACAATAATTATTTATGTTAATCTACAGAGGAAGATACAGTACGTTGGCATAATAAATTGTCTTTATGCTGTGTAGCAATGCCTTTTGAATCACCTTCTGTACTCACAAATAAGAGCATCTACCTGAATGGAGTAGTTGTCAGATTGTAGGATAAAGACAATGAATTAGTGGCATGTAGGGAAGATACAGCCCTACAAAATCCACCATTCGTATCAAGATTTAATTTTTAAACTGTGTTATAATAAAATTGAGTGTCTGAGTGTGAGTCTGAAGTGAGAAGAGAGGGCATGATGCTGGAAGGCTGGATTGGAATTTGGCCTGGCTTTCTTATTCTTATTCCAGCTCTGAATGCTAAATTAATCACTGAGATTTATATGAAAATGAAAGCTGCACAACATCTTCATCAAGGAAAAATAGGGTTACAATTCAATAAATTGTGTGGTAATACTTTATTGACTAATGAATATACAGCTCCTTCTAACTGCAGTATTTTACTTTTGGGGACTGTAACAGCGTTGCAATTACATTACTAGTACTTGCTAAACATATGTCTGTCTTCTCTCCTGATCTTAAAAAATGCTTTGAAAAAAGAGTGAAAGAAGACCCAGAGAGCAGGTTATGCACCATCCCAGAGTCTTGTGGGGAAATAAACCATGCACAGATAATAACAGTGCAAACAAGTTGATGCTGCTATTTTTAAACAAGCTGTTATTATTGACTAGCAGAGGTTGCTGGAGGTGGGATGCTGTTAATGACAAAAGCTCTGAACAGTAGAATTGCTACTAATCCATGTGCTAGAGAGCCTGATAATGAGAAACACCTAAGTGCAGAATTAAATGGTCCTCTAAAATAATTTCTGCTACATACTTGATAAGGAGTCATAGCATCCTAAGCAGCCCCTTTTCTTTTTCAGAAATCTCTATCCACAGAAATCCCATATTACTCCATTCACAAATTAGAGAGATGAAGAAATCTTCAGGGGATTATTAGTAAAACTTTCAGAAAGAGAGGAGCCAAATCACTTTGAAACAGAAAAGAAACATTCTGGGAAAACCTATTTTAGGCCCCATTCGGGGAAAAAAGGTCATGACACAGAAAAAATTGGTGCCCAGTGACAGGACCTGAAGGAATGACCTGGGTTAGGTTGGATATTAGAAAAAGGCTCTTCCCCCAGAGGTGCTGGCACTGCCCAGGCTGCCCAGGGAATGGGCACAGCCCCGAGGCTGCCACAGCTCCAGGGGCATTCGGACACCAGGGATGGACAGGGGGGATGCTGGGGGGTCTGCAGGGACAGGGGCTGGATCCATGATCCCTGTGGGTCTCTGCCCAGCCAGGATGTTCTGTGATTCTGTGCTGTATCCTGAAGCAGATCCATGAGTGTGTAGCACCCTGGAGTGCTGCAGCTGATGGAAGCCAAGCGTTGTGGGACACTTGGCATTTTGCAGATGAATGGCCTGCACTGAGCAGCCTTTTGTCTTCTTTTTCTCAGATCCCATTTTGTTTTTCCTGGTAGCCCACAGAGGCATGAAGTGAGACCAGCCTGCTCTGAGATCCTGAGTGAATTTTCTGGATGGTGGAGTCATTTAGAAGCTGGCAGGGGAGCTGTGGTTGTTATTTCCGACGCCTGGTTGTGAACATGTGCCTGCTGACCACATCTACCTTACCAGGAGGTGAAAAATCATGGAATTACAGAAGGGTAAGGGCTTGGAATAGACCTTAAAAATCACCTAATCCCAACCTCCTGCCACGGGCAGGGACATCTCCCAGCAGACCAGGCTGCTGAAGGTCTTATCCAACCTGGCCCGAGCAGTGCCAGGCTTGGAGCATCCTCAGCCTCCTGGGAAATCTGTCCAGTCTCTCACCACCCTCACGGTGGAAAATTTCTTCCTACCATCAGAGGCAAAGGAACTGTGTTAATATGTTAATGTGTTAATACCTACACAAATTCAGGTTCTAGGCATCTTAAGTTTTGGCCCATGGGTTTCTTGCTTTCTGTATGTATTTGAAATATTTAATGAGTAGAAACAATTTGGCCACAGAAATTACTCCAGAAATAGGCAAAATATGTCAGTTTTATATTACCAGATCTCCTTAAAAAGAACTTGCAACACTTTGACATGAGTTTGGGATCTAAATTGGTTTTAAAATTTTCTTTGAGAATTTGTGACATTAATTTATGTGCTTCTTTAAATCATAAATCTCTCAAAAATCAGACTTGTCCAGAATTTGAAATCAAATTAATAAATCAGCTTACATTAACTCAATCTTAGGTTTCTGAAAATATTTGTGAACTTTAACAGCTCTTTCAACAGGCCTGTTCTGCATTTTGATTTTCTAGTGCAATGCAATCCAAGTGAGATTTATATGACTACACATTTTGTTGCAAACATTCACAGCTCAAAGCTATTACCTGACTGTCTTCCATATCAGGCCATTTATGTATCTAAGAAAACACTGGCATCTGTTTAATATTTTATTGCTTTAAAAATATCTTTGTTGTTCAGATACAATCTCACTCTAACATTTTCATGAATAGAGCCTTTATTCTTTCTGTAGAGCAGAGGACATTTGCCTTCATAGAAATAATATTAACTATGAGTTGACCCATAATTTGCATTGCAAGAAAATCATGTAATAAGATTTTTTCCTTCAGAATGGGTTTTGAGTTTATTTGTTTTTTATTTTTTCTTAAATTTTCTAATATTTTACTTGATTGCAAACAGGAAACATGTAATGCCTTGTGACACTTGGTATTGAACTTCAAAAAAAATACATTAAAAACATCCATAACTGCTTTCAGCTTTAGGCCCTAACAGTTTATATTATTACAGATACATTAATTCTTAAGAAGCTTGAAATGTGTACAGGTTTATCCCCTCATTATTAAAAATGCATAACTTATGTACCCTAGCAATCCAAACTGTAGATCACTTTATCAAGGAAGAAAATGTAATTATCCCTATTTTATAGACAAGTTAATGCCACAGTGAACAGTCACAGAGCAAACAGAGCACCTATAAAAAGAAGACTGACAAAGCCAAAATTCTGTTGCCTTTTCCATTTTGATTTGTCTCAAATTAATGCATGGCTGATTTTTAAATTGTTTATTCTCTCAACACAGGGCTGCCAAAATTGGAGAAAATTAAGTGGAATCAAACACAAAAACATCAAAAAAAAAAAATCAAAATCAAAAACATCTCCAAATAAAATCTACTTCAAAGCAAGCTCTGAATCAGAGACAGGGACGACCTTAAAGCAAAACCTTACAGTGTAGGACAGATCAGTTTCTCATGATCCAGCACTGCACAGAATAGAAATAATGCATAGATAAAAGACAGAGATTGCTCTCTTTCCACAGAGAGGTGGCTCAGTCAAATAGGTAAGAGGTTCATGGCACCTGCCTGTCTAGGGTGTGAAGTGGATCTAAACCCAGCAAATTGCTTAGTTCCCCCTAGGAGAAAAAAGTTACTGACACCATTGGAGCACTTGGAGAATTTCTCTGCCTTCATCTTGCTTGGCTATTGGGAATTGTAGTGCTGTCTAGTCCCTGATAAGCAACATTTAACAAATGAACCCTTTCCAGGGCTGCAATAGCCAGGGACAGGCTGAGAAGGCTCAAGGTTTCTAGTCTGCACCTGCTTACATCAGGGCTCAAGGTGAGCAGGAGGAGGTGGATGAATGTAGCATAAACCTCTCCTTTTCATGGTTTTAGCAACTCCAGCCCTCCAAACCTTGTGCTTTGTGCCCAGGGTCTAATCCAGAAGATCTGTGTGTCCTCGTGTAACATCTGCTGGGAGCTCCATTGAACAATTTGTGTGAGGTCTCTGCTTCACAAGCTCTGGAGAAGGTAAGCTGAGCTCTCCCTCCCCAGACTGAGTGCTGCTGCTCCTGCAATTTGGCTGCTGGCACATCAAGGACAGATTTTCATCTCTGCCTGATCCAACATCTACCATGTGATGTCCTTCCTTTACATCAGGAGGGGAGGAAAGGCATCCTGAGACTGAAATAGGTAATTGCTGGCAAAACAGTACAGCCATCGGCTTACACAGGTGTAAATGGTAAAGAAAAAGGAGTGCCTGACTCTCTAAGGCTGGGGGCATCTTCTCAAGTAATCACTGCTCTTTTCAGCCTTTCACCAAACATTTGGTCCTCTGGGTGCTGCTTCAGGCAGAGCTTTTAACAGACAAACCCTCAGTGTGAGAAGAGCTGGATTCAGGTGTGCCTCCACTGAGCCAGACAGAGACAATGTGTACCCAACTAGGAAAGAACACATGGGGAATTGTGTGATAGAAATGGAATTATGTGGCAATTGAGTACAAAGGGAAATGCAGAAAAAATGAACAGCTGAAATGAAAAATTTGAAAAAAGACTCAATCAAAAACAAGATGAAAAATTTGTTGTAAAAAGCTAATTTGTGAAATATGATAATAGAAGAAACTTATTAATTTTAAGATAGAAAATATTTTGTTTTTAAATATAATTTTTATTCGTAATTTCAAAATTATAAATTGACTATTAATTGTGTGCATTGAAACTGCAGTGAAGATGCTTTAGGAAAATTTTAGGGAGAGAGAAGCAAGGAAAATTTCATGAAAATTCACAAAAATATGTTGAAAACAAGATCACAAGAATAATTCATATAAGAAATTAACCAAGTGGCCCTGGTACCATGCTTATAAGTATTTACACTGTAAAAACAAAAATGGTTGTAATACAATCCAATTGTCTGTTTCCCAGGAACACAGATCTGTACAAAAATACTTGGGGATTCTCTTTCTTAAAAAGAAATCAGATCTGTGTGGCTGAACTGCCAGTGCTCATAGATGAAGAAAATAAGAAAGTTTTGTCTAAAACAGAAAGACTTCCTGTGTCTAGTTTTTGAACATGGCCATAAAGAACACCAGCACTGTGTGCCTATTTCTTCAGCACAGCACATTTCACTACAGTTTTTAGCTACACAGTGAGTGAGAAGGTGCTCAGGTGCACAGTCAGTAGAGAACTCTCCATTTCTGACTGCTTGTCTGCATATGCTTTTACACATCCTTCAGCTAAATCAGAGATCCAAATGGAAAATTAATTACTTATGGCCATCAAGTGAATTTGTGACACTCCCTGGAGACTTTGTGCCCATAAATATCTAGGTAGTCTTTCTCTTCTGACAGATATAAGATATAGTTTAAATTTAATGTATACTTCAAGTATTATTAAGTAATGATTCAATTCTTAAAGGTAAGTTTATAATATATTGCAATATTTTGTATTTTCTTTTTTCTGTTGTACATCTGTAATTAACAAATATAGAAAATATTGAAAGGAAAAACAACATATAAAATGTATGCAAATTTGCACATGTCGCCCATACAATTGTCCCAAGCTGCTTGTTTTAGAATATGGTAATCTTATAGAAAAAAATGTTTGCTGTTATGAGTCATGGAACCTTCAAAGAGGAATAAACATACAGGTGTAAAGGGAAGTAGAGATGGCAGCATGGAATGGAAGAGATCAAAAAATATTGTGGTGTCTAAATTAAAACCATAAAATATTTCCACAGTTAGAATGTAAATCTATGTGGATGAATACCTTCACTCCTGGTCTTTGTTTCTGCTGAATTTCCCTCATCCTACAGAGATGTGATGGAGAGCAGAGGGGGCTCTATTCTGGATAAAAAAATAAGAAGGCAAACATCCTTTCTTTTACTTTGAACATCATTTAGTGAAGGAGAGGAGGTGGGAAAAAAGAATTATTGGTAAGATGAACTTAAATGCAAAAACTAAAAAGAAATATGTCCCCGTAAGTGTTACAGGGAAATTATTTTATTTTAAACAACTATTGTCCTAAATTGAAATTTTAAAACTGCCTTTATTTCCATAATAATTTCAATGCATATAAGTCTTTCAATAATTGCATTATTATTAGCAAATTTCTATTTTAATGCCTGGAAGAATATTTTGTATGCAAGTTTATTTAAAAATACTTTGTGATGTCATGTTGAAGGAAGTTGTCTGCATTTTGTTTTTACCAGTGTATCACCTGTACCCTTGGTTATTGGAAATGAATGTATATAATTCCCAAATCAGTCTTTTAATTCTTACAATTCCTATTAATTCTTACTAATTGATAAGGTGGTTTTACACAATAGCTGAGAAAAGACTGTTGAATTTTCTTTTACATTTTCACCTGGACCGGACTGATTTTTCTTGGACAATAATACCTGAGGAATAAGACAGCTCCTTATGATTTTTTCTTAATTGATGCAAAAGAAAAAATACTTATAATTCTTTTCAAATATTCCTCAAATAAACATTTTTATAGATAATTCCTTTCTGTTCTTTAACAGAATGCAGTGCTGCCCATTTGCAGGATTTAAAGAGGAAATGGATGGAGAACATCAGGTCCCCAACCTTTGGGAAATTCTGGCCCAGGATCTTATTCAGTAGATGAACTTACTGTGTGCTGCACCAGGTAAAACAATCCCTGTTGCAGTGAAAGGGACCAGCATTTTTATTGTTCACACCTTCCACTTAAGGTTTTACTTTGTGCATCATTATTATTACAGCAGTTATGAGAAAAACTTTGTTGTACTAGTTAAACTATACAAATAAGTTTTTGTGATGTGTGAAATAGTTAAGTCCAAGCAATCCTAAATTTTGAGACCTGACTTCAAATTCAACTCTGAAGTTATTTATTTGTTCAAGTATAAAATAATAAAGGTTCCTGTCCAAGGCTCTTAAATCATAACTTTTTAAATTATATGGTCAATTAAGTTAGATTTAACCTTAACAGAACTGAACTCGGTTCCAAAGGAACTTGCCATTGCTTTTCATCCCTTCACATCTCAGAGTCCCTCATCAAACAGATGAGGCCCTAAGTGTGGGATATTTTGAATTATAAAGGGGAAGTTCTAGAGTCCAATAGGCTTCAAAGAGAAAGCCTAGACTGTCCTGTTCCATGTAATGAGGAAATTAGTTTAATTGTTTCTGCTAATTGCAGCTGTTGCTGGGTGGCAGAGAGAAAGAAATGATGGCTGGTCTCAGCCTTGGGTATTTTCTTGGTTATGCATCATATCTCACCCCAGGTTTCCTGTGTTCATCCCTGTGTTCCCTGTGCTCACTCCTATCCAGAGCAGTGGCATTTCTCTGAAGAGTCAAAGGCTTTATGCTCTATCTGCTGATCTAATTAGCTTGCCTGAGAAGCAAAACAGATTAGCTGTCTTGAGCCAGAGGCACATGCTAATGGAGCTAGGAGATGGCTTTATACCACACAGCTGTATCCTCAGAGCTAATCCAAAGGTCTTGAACACCCACAGAATGATTCCCATTTACTTCAGCAGAAGAGGGCTAAGGCCCTGAGCTTTGAAACTGTTTGTCTCAGAATGTAATGTACATTGGTGTCAAGCATGGCTGTGCCCTAAGAACAAAATATTAACCTATAGTAACAGTACTTTGCGCTTACCTAGAAGCTCTCAAATAATAATTTCTGTGCACTTTAATTAATTAACCTTTACAACAACATGTCTTTGAGGGTTAGCTAAGGATCAGAACTGAGTGACAAGTTTAAAAAGTCTCCAGTTATTCATTTATGCTGAAACTATTTTTGATTGGAGTGTATTTTTGTCTTTTTCCAGATTTTCATTCTCATAACAGTGTTTTTAAAAGCATGTTTTAATCATAAGCACTTAAATATTTGTCAAGTGAAAATGAGTGTTCGTACTTCTACCGTCATCTATTGGGTAACAGTTCACTGCTCCTGCCTTTTACTGCTTCTCCTTTCACTGCACCTGCTGCCTCTTTCCCCATATCCCTTAATCATTTTCTGGTGTATCCTCACCAGTCCCTATTAAAGCAATGCTGATTCTTAAACCTCTTTGTTCCAGTGTGAAATCCAAAATATTAAGACAGGCAGAATCCTTTATGTGTTGTACTGAGCTGGTGGGCTAAGATAGACAATTAGAGGAAAGCACACCAGACCTCCCAGCTCACTGTATTGACTAAGGCTCGGAGTTTCCCTAGCAGCTCTTTAGGAAGTTAGTCTTAAAGAGATGACAACACAAAGACATCTGTGAATATTTTTGAATAATCAATATATTTCATTTTCCTGTGAGTTTTAAATTCCTTGGATGTTATGTGAATGGTAGATATGTACAGGGTGAAGATGTCCTGATAGTTGTTTTCTAGTCTTTAAATGGGACTGTCTCTCTTACCCATGGGCTAAAACAATGCAACACGTAGACTTTTCTGGAAGAAAATTCCTTACTCATGGTTGTTAAAAGTTAGGTAATGTCTAAATATTGTGCTGGAGACTAAAATTTGGAGTGAAAAAAGTACAGAAATACCAGACTAAATGGGATCTGTTGGATCTAAACCAGTAACTAGTTAAAAACTTGGAAAAAGATCTTGATTCTCCATCTCCCTTTTCTGTGAGCTAGAATGAGGAAGTTCCTTTCCCTCATGAGAATATTGTTATTAAGTTTGTAAAAAAATTTAAAAATTCTTTGGGTTTCCTTCATTTGCAATGTTTACTTCCTGGGATTCATTAGTTAATGCATCTTGAACTACATTAGCTCATTCAGGTTTGTGGCTGGTCTGATAGCTGTGTTCCATGAATCCCATGTGCCATCTGGCTGCAGTTCCATTTGGATCATGTTTAGTCATTAGCTGCTAAAAAGATCTCTGGTCATTTATCTTAGTGAATCAGAACTGGAGTTTAGCATTATTTTCGTATGACACAAAAAGTCTTTTTATTAGAGATATATTTTTTGAGTTTGCTTATTGTATTTTTAAATTCACTTTTAGGCTAATATTTTTAATTGCTATGTTACAGAGATTCCACATTGTTTGTTTGTTTGTTTATACTGAGTCATTATATAATGACCCTCTGCTAGGATTTCTCTTGAAGTCTAAATATTCCTTATTGTTCTATTGTTTCATTTAAAAGAACAATCATTGGTGACACGTAAATGAGTAAAGTTTTATAAAAATAACTTGGAATAAATTTTTAATAAGACGTATTATTATCCTTTGACTCATAGCAAGTCATTCATAAACACCATTAAATTCTGATAATTATAGCTGTAGCTGCAGGGTTACTACCTTTACAGTCCTTATGCAGACTTCATTTAGAGGTCCAGTGGGGACATGCACACAACTGCTACAAAATGTTGCTATTAATGGTTTCCTTTGGAACAGTATTGTGCTAGATTAAACATTCACTCATGAAACAAAAATGTTTATAGGTCATCTAATAGCTAAGCATTCTGTGGCTTAAAGTAAATCCTTTAGCATTGGATTTCAGATTTTAGGACTTGCACAATTTTCTTTTTTTTCTTCTGTATAAAACAAGAAATATAGAGATTTTGTAGTGGAGCAAAAAGCTCAGTAATTTTCTCTGAATAATGCAGCAATCACCCTTTTCCCCAAAGTAAACTGGACTACTTTGGTCTATAAAGCTGCTTAATAACGTTTGCAGTACCTCTTTTTATTTTTTGCCCCCTTGCTGCTCAGTTTCAGAGTTAACTTCTGGGATAGAAGGGATGCAGGTACTTGATATTGCTTTCAGCTTCCTGTCTTATGAAATACAAGCTAATATATTTCCAGGAAATTTCGGATCTAGATTTAAACATCACAGCTCTCATTCTTCTAGAAAACAATCTAGATGTCAGTTTTGGAGCTGGATCTTTTAAATATATAGTAATGTAAATCCCTTCTAGGAACATTCAACAGAAAGGATTTTTAGGAATGCTAGTAGTGTCATATCTCCAAATTCCGCTCTGTCCTAAAACAAAAATCTCCCAATATACTGTTAAACCCCAATGTGCAGTGGAATTTGCACCACCTCTTTTTGCTAGCTGCCATTTTCCTTTTCCTAGCACAGTTTACTCTTAATTCTGCCCAGTGAGAGAAGCAGTTCTCAGGACCTGCTCAGCTCTGGTGGCCTTTCCCCAGCTGCTCCGTGCCAGCAGTGCCTGCCAGGGATATCAGACATCCAGGAGGTACTGGGCTGATGTCAGCAAAGCTGCTATTGTGGTTCCACACCCCTGGAAACTGCTTCCACCTTGGACTGATTTCACTTGAACACAACCTTTTTGCAGTCTTCTCACCTCTGCTTGGCTTCCTTCCATGGGCTTTGCTCACTGAAGGCCTCAGAGCTGAGATTTTGCATTATGTCTTAAAAAACCTGTGTAAGAGAGGTAAAGAAAGAGAGAAAGAGAAAGAAAGAAAGAAAGAAAGAAAGATTCATCATTGCTTTAATTGAAGGCTGAGCCAGACTTTTGCATTCTGACAGGTGTTAATGCTGTTCTACAATTTTGCAAATACTCTTCCATAGCTGGGGGAACCAGATGGACAATATGACTTTTACAAATTATATGGTGTTGTAATTAAAGATATTCCAGTATATCATAAGATATGTTTGTTAAACAGAAACGGTGTTTTGAAATGCTGTGATGATCTGATATACAAAACAGCTTCTAATTTGTTCTCCTGGTACTAATTGCCAGTAGTCACTAGATAAGATTAGACTGATGGTAATTCACTGTATTAGGCAGCAGAGAGATATCTTTGCAGGTGTATTTTTCATGGCCATCAAAGTACTTTAATAAAAAAGGTGAATGTTGTTAAAGAGTGATATCAAACAAAGGGCTAAATCCTTTTATTTTTCCCTCCTTTACTGCTGACCCTCACTTTTTCCAGAAGGGTGAAACACTGATAGACATTTTAGGCATTAGCACAGCAAGTCTTGATATAAACCCAGTTTTTCAGTCTGGCAAGACTTTTCCTTTTTCTGTGTAATAAAGATTCTTAAAATCATACCTCAAATCCTCCCCACTCATATTTAAAAAAAAACATTATCTGAAAAACAGCATTAAAATATTATTTCATAAAAGTTATTGAAAATATTTATTATGGAAGTTTTAGAAATGGCAAGAGGGAAAGGAGAAAAAATTAAGGCTAAGGAACATAGAACTAATTACATGTATTCCTTAAGGCTTCTTTAAGGCCTCATGCTGGATACCCAGGGAACTAGAATATAAGTTTCTCTGTCTTAGTAAATCAGCATAATGACTCTTTTTAGTGTTTTGGTGTGACTCTCAGAATTTTTGGGTATTAATAGAAAATAATTCCTGTCTATTCCCTTTCTACATCCCCTAGGGAAGGATTCCTACTTTTAAGCCTTTTCTATTGGCATATTTTGCTAAATTTGTTTATATTTTTTTAACTTGTGCAGATTTTCAGAACTTTTGAAGCAATCTCTCTCAGGATTCATAACAATATAAACAGTGGTGACTGGAGACTTCCCAGTAAAATTTCCTATTGTTGTCAATTGCCCTTAAGAATATCTCATCACTTTATTTAAATGTACATGCTGGTTTATTGTGTATTTATAGTTGCTGGCAAATCCACTGTTTTATAATTTGGAGACCCCTAATAACAGGCTCCTGAAATCTTGGGGACAGGAAGGAAGTTTAACAATAAGTACCAAGCCTACTCTGCTTTAATTCCCCCTGCTTTTTATTTATTAAATAGCAACACAATGGTCAGCCAGTATGAATTACAAATAAACATTGGCTATTCAATTCTTCACCAATTACATAAGTGTTGCTAACCCAAGTGGCATAATGGAAATGTTAGGATCTCAGCCTTAAATATAGAGAATCCCATACCAGAAAGGCATAGCAAAACACAGCTGCAACATTGTCTGTAACCTGCCAGCCTTTTCCTTTTCTGACCACACTCAAGTGATACTTGCTCTGCTCTGAATTTTAATTAGTGATGGCATATTTTGGAGATGATATATCCAGAAGTGCCGATAAAGCAGTGAGATGAGCAAATGAGTGCTGCACATCTACACAGTGACCTAACATTTGGTGGGTGTTGTACAATTATTTTCC